CCCCCGGCCCCCGCCCGGCTTTTGCTTACACGCTCACTGCCATTCTCCCAGACTTGGCAGGAACACTTGGATTCTATGTGTGCACCTGTTAGTGTGAATGTATGTTTTCCCTACCTTCTTTGTGAATTTTCAGGATTTTCATCTGTTAAGTATTTTTGTCTCTTTTTCCCCCTTTGCTCTTCCTGAGGACATCGTCAGCCAGGACCCTATTCTAGATTTTTATTTGAACAACTCCATTTGGCCATTTTTTTTTTCCATGAGAGTAAAAGTCTGAAGAGGCCTCATCTGCTGAGACTGCTTCCCTCCTGGTCCCAGGGTCTAGCTTGTTTTGGTTTGGGCAGTTTTGTTTTAATCCAATGAGGGTAGTAGACCTAGACCAGAATACAACTTAAGGTGCAAGGACAGGAGAACCTATGAAGGCCTGCCTGGCTTGGCCCCAAGTTTCCTCTATTAGAACACTCCTGAGACCAGTTGAGTGGGGACAAGGAAGCTTTCTCTTCTCTTATAATCTCCACAGGGTTCCTGGAGGCAGAACTGGATTCCCAGGGAGTTAGCAGAACATACAGAGGAGGCACAAAAGCATTGCCACAGGATACATATTCCTCGCCCATGCCAGCCTCATAGCTCATGGTTGAATTTGACTTCTTGCTTTACTGAGAGTTACAGAAATAAGAAAGTCAAATATTTCTTTTCCTAGAGATGGCTTCCTGAAAGAGAGGGACCCTCTCCATCCCACCACCACTCCACCCTTCTGTGTAGACTCAAGGAGGGCCAGCCGGGCTAGAGACTTTTTTGTCACCAAATCCTGTCTTTGTTAGTGTTATCAAGAATAGTCCTGGGCCTTCATTTTTGCCTTCCCTCATGCTTGAGGGATTTGTGTTTTTGTGGGCCCTGGTACCTTGGGGATGGGCTGCAGGTCTAAAGCAATGATAAAGTAGGAAATGGGAAGTGGTCACGCGTCTGAGTTCCCAGAAGTACCCCCTCGACCTACAAGCTGAACACTGAAACTACTGGGATCTGAGCCAGGCTAGAGGAGGCTTCTGGATGGGTGGGCTCTGCCTTTCCTCTCCGGAATGACTGGGATCACAGGGTGTTCCTGACTCTCTCTTCCCTGTCTCTTTGGAGACTTCTTCTTTTTTTTTTTTTTTTTTCTGTGGTGGGAGCGGGGCGGAGGGACAGAGTCTTGCTCTGTTGCCCAGGCTGGAGTGCAGTGGTGTGATTTCGGCTCACTGCAGCCTCTGCCTCCCAGGTTCAAGATATTCTCATGCCTCAGCCTCCTGAGTAGCTGGGATTACAGGCATGCATTACCACGCCCGGCTAATTTTTGTATTTTTAGTAGAGATGGGGTTTCACCATGTTGGCCAGACTGGTGTTGAACTCCTGGCCTCAAGTGAGCTGCCTGCCTCAGCCTTCTAAAGTGCTGGGATTAAAGAGGCTGTACCTGGCCTCTCTTTGGAGACTTCTGATGTCTCCAAAATATTCCAAATATTTCCCTTCCTTCCTGGAATTAGGAAGTAGCTTCAGATGGGGGGGTTCTGGCCGGGTGCGGTGGCTCAAGCCTGTAATCCCCAGCACTTTGGGAGGCCGAGACGGGTGGATCACGAGGTCAGGAGATCGAGACCATCCTGGCTAACACGGTGAAACCCTGTCTCTACTAAAAAATACAAAAAAACTAGCTGGGCGAGGTGGCGGGCGCCTGTAGTCCCAGCTACTCGGGAGGCTGAGGCAGGAGAATGGCGTAAACCCGGGAGGCAGAGCTTGCAGTGAGCTGAGATCCGGCCACTGCACCCCAGCCTGGGTGACAGAGCGAGACTCTGTCTCAAAAAAAAAAAAAAAAAAAAAAAAAAGGATGGGGGGGTTCTATCTGAGCTTAGTTTATATGCTATTGTTTCACCTTTTCTGCCTCCTCCCCCTCCCATGAACAGCCTGCCGTGCTAACTGCATTATACTTCTCTTTCTTCCTGTTTCTCTCCCGCAGGAGAGGGCTGAATCCCCCTCATCGTGTCAAGTCAATCTCCATGACAACTTTCACTGAGCCTGAAGTAGTATTCCTGCAATCCCGTGGAAATGAGGTGAGCTGCCACCGATGGAGTGGTGAGAAGGTCGCCCTATCTGCAGGTGGGGCTTTGTCTCAAGATTGTAGGGAAACCTTATGGTTTCATTTTTGGTTGAGTTTCTCTGAATTTTTTCATATGTATGATTTCTTTCCTTAGGTATATTTGTATATTTACAGAATCTTTATTCTGTTATACAAATCGTGGTTTGTCTAAGCTCCTTTTTCAGGAGTCAGGGGAAGTAGCAATATCTTTGTAGGATGTGGCACCTGAGCAATGGAGGGGTAGAATGATCAGAGCTCCAGAGCATGAGCATTCAGAGTTGACTGGGCCAGCCTCTCTGAGGAAGCTCTCCTGGAGCCAGCTCTGCTGCCTTAAGCCTTGACCACCTGGGTTTAAGTGCATATCTTTTACTTGAAAGTGACTTGTAAACCCCTTCCCTAGCTAAATCTGACAATCAGAAGTTGCTATCCTTGGCGTTAGCAGTACCCCTAGCTTATGGGTGATTGGTTTACTTAGAGGGTGTCCTCAAGGGCCTCTGCAGGTGTCCTGGAAGCCAGAACTCTGAAAATTGTCCCAGACCCTACCCTTATCGAAATTTAATTCTCCATAATTCTTATGGCCCTCTATTTTCCTTTTTCAATACATGTCACAAAATGTGATTATAACTTTAGTTTTATTTATCTAAGACATGACCGCCCCATTGGATTATAAACTCTGCAAGGACAGGAATCATATCTGGTTTGTAGATAGACTCAGATCCTAGCACTGTATTTTTATTTATAATACAGGAGGCAGGAGAATTGCTTAAACCCCGGAGGTGGAGGTTGCAGTGAGCCGAGATCGTGCCACTGCATTCCAGCCTGGCGACAGAGTGAGAATCCATCTCAAAAAAAAAAAAAGGAAGTGGTATCTTTTATATTTCCTGCTTTCTGCTCCCACTCCTCTGACACCTTCATTCTTTTAGGTTTGCCGGAAGATTTGGCTGGGTCTATTTGATGCTCGGACATCTTTAGTACCAGATTCCAGGGATCCTCAGAAAGTGAAGGAGTTTCTCCAGGAAAAATATGAGAAGAAGAGATGGTAAGGAGTAGGAAAGAGGTTGCTATGGAAACGTGTTCAAGACATTCTGCATCTGACAGTCCAGTTTCTAGAGTTGAATTTGACCTTCTCACAAAGGCTAGACTTGAGTTGAGTCTGTTCCACTCCCATTCAGTTACAGGTAAAATAAATCTACATGAAAGGACAACTTGTTCTCAGTCACTAACCCTGCAGATTTTGTCCTCTCTTTTGGAGAGATAATAGACTGATTAGAGTCGGGAGGTAGGCCTGTGGGTGTTCATTTTTATAGCTCAGCTGATCTTGTATATGGAGAGAGATGGCAGGAAGCACACAGCCTATAGTTTTATTCCTTTAACCCATCATTTCATGATTTTTTTTTTTTTTTTTTT